ATGTTTTGTCCCATATTTTCAAACCACTGCTCGAGACTGAATTCTGTTAAATTCTGTAAATAGGGTTGTTATGTATGATGTGGATGCCACATTATGATTCCAGTGTTTTTGGATACAGTCTGAACGTAAATGGTTCCTGGTTTGGATGTACATGTGTAAGATAAACCTAGTATGGTATTATGGGATTATGTAGAGATTATTTAAACCTTCAAAAGGTTCTTCACACTCACACATCTCACTTACAAAAATAGTTCTTTAAAGAACCATCCTTCAAAAAGTTCTTTAGGCAAGCAAAAGTTGTTCTTCTGTGGTATTGCTCCAAAGAACCCATTTTGACCCCCCTCTTTTGTAAACAAAAGCATCTGTTGAAAGGTTCTTTAGGGAACCAAAAGTGGTTCTTCTATGCACCCTCAAAAATAAAGGTGCCAGAATTTTTTTTTGCATAATGCCATAGAAGAACCAGTTTGGGTTCCCTGAAGCAAATTTCAATAGAGAAAATTATTTTTGTGAGTGTGAGTTTTAAAACACGTCTATATAATGTAAAGGTTTTAGGTAGAACCATAAAGAACCTTCATGCTATGTGGAGGTTCTGTGACCACATGAACCAGAAGAGCCCAGTTCTAGCCTCCCAAAAAAGAAGGTCTGCTACAGGAAACTAAACCTCCTTCACATCTCGAGAGTAGCTTCATTTAATCAGTTTCAGCATCTAGAACCGGAGCTTTCTGTGAGCTACTGTTTTCTATTACTGTATAAAAGATGCACATGCCTTCCTTTTATATTGCACCATGTTTTTTTTTTTATTCCATGTGAATGTATAAGCTCATTTATGCAATCCAGATAAGTGAGACCTTATTATTATGATGATTTGTTTTTAATTTAATCAGAGTCAAAGCATGATAGATTCCTATTTGGTTGTTTTCTTGCTCAAAAACTGAATAAAATTCTTTGACTTTTCAGCTTTGTGAGATCAAGTTCTTTGTATATCAGATAAACAAACCAAGAAATGATCTTATTAACATTAATAAAGTAGATAAAACAGCAGAAATAGTCACTTTTTTGCATCAGGCTTAAAGGGTTAAACCTTTATAAGGATGTTCACACTAACACATCTCTTTTTCATGAATAGGTTCTTCTAAGGCATCACTGGTAACACTTTATAATACCAAGCCCTAATAAAGAAATTTAAATGGAAATTTAGCATCAGCTATAGGGCCCCACTTTAAAATAAGACTACCTTTATAAAGGTTTAACAAATGGTTCATTAATCATTAATAAGCTGTTATAACACATTAAAAAAGGGCAAAAGTGAGCTGTTATATCTGATGAATATGAATATGTGATGAAGCTGACAGGTTTAATGCTGGCTGATGTAAAAGACACATTAAGATCAGTAAAGATAAAAATCTGAAGTTTGACAGTATAAATAAATGTGAGTTCACTGTTTGGCAAAAAACAGGCCACTGTGGGCTTTTTAATTTCTGTGTTGTAAATGCTTATTAAGGATAATAATAATAATAATAATAATAATAATAATAATAATAATAATAACAACAACAATAGTGAACTCATTTTAAACCATAAAAAGTGTATAAGGGTAGTCTTATTTTAAAGTGGTACCATCTACAGTTAATTGATATTATTTATAGAACAGCCATATGTACATTCATAAAATTTATTTTAATTCATTTTAATTATTAACATTATTATGTATTATGGTGTGTAGTGTACACTTTAGTCCATCTGTTTCTCTGCATACTTTGTTAGCCCCCTTTTACCCTGTTCTTCAGTAATCAGGACCCCCATGGACCCTCACAGAGCAGGTACTATTTGGGTGGTGGATCATTCTCAGCACTGCAGTAACACTGATGTGTTGGTGTGTGTTGCGCTGGTCTGAGTGGATCAGACACAGCAGTGCTGCTGGAGTTTTTAAACACCTCAGTGTCACTGCTGGACTGAGAATAGTCCACCAACCAAAAATATCCAGCCAACAGTGTCCTGTGGGCAGCGTCCTGTGGCCACTGATGAAGGACTAGAGGATGACCAACACAAACTGTGCAGCAGCAGATGAGCTATCGTCTCTGACTTTACATCTACAAGGTGGACTGACAAGGTAGGAGTGTCTAATAGAGTGGACAGTGAGTGGACACAGTGTTTAAAAACTCCAGCAGCATTATAAAGTGTTACCAACCCTTTGTGGCATCCTGTTTTAAAAACTGTAGCGTCGCTCCAAAGAATCCTTCTCAGCACCCTTATAATAAGAGTATATAGTAAATCTGGGACATTTGATCTTTTTTTACCGTTACATCAACGTGCGAAACCCATGGAAATTAATATTTCACAAAAACGTTAAAATGTGTAGATAATTGGCGTTATTTACACTAATTATGAGGTGTCATATGATTAAAAAAAATCTGTTAATTCTGTTATTAATAGTGATATTGAGATGGCTTAATTATATTAATTCTCTTAGTCCCTCTTCACTTGAGGGGAAAGCCAGGGAAAAGCCTGCCATCACAGTAATAATCATAGCCAATGAAACATCCACATTATAATCAAGGTACACACACAAAAGGCCACATCATACAGCAGCAGGTCTGCACAGCTTGCTTCAATCTCCAGTGCAATAAAAGAAGCATACAACAGTTATTTTTCTTATTTTTTTTTGATTAAAAGAGTCAGAAGTGTTTCTCCACCACATTCTTCTCATTTTCTCCTGATCAAAACGTTTTGTTGATGACCCGCTCCCTTCATGAACCAGATACAGAGGGACTGACCGAATAACAAAGACTAGACAATGGATGGTTCGAGCCACTTTGTATTCAAAGCAGCTTTGGTCCTTCTTAGAGCTCAGTCCTGAACCATTTCCAATGGGATATTGGAGCATTCGGCAAAAGGAATAGGCCCATTATCATGTTGAACAGCTGGGTTCTTTGGATTGCTCAAAGAATAACCCTTTCACTTGTAGAAAAATACAATGGACCAGAGATAATATTTCTTTTCTCGGGCTACTTTATGATTGACTTTCATGCTCATTCACTCCAAATTTGGGTGTATTTGCATTCAGTTTCAAGTGGTTTTCAAATGACGTGCAGTTTTCTCTAGAACTGGGTCATGCAGATCTAGATCATTCTGTTTTAAGGCTTTTGTTTTTTTTAATCAATTCCCTGTTTCATTATTGGCTGGTGCCTGTGAATGAACTTCAGTGCAATCCTTGGTCTCGCCTTGTTTGGATAGTCCACTATAGATTCTCTACAGATGTTCAAATTGTTAACAGACTATCCGCTGAAACTCAGTTGATTCAAAACAGTGGTGTGGTTAGCATTAAGATTTGGACCAGGGTGAGGGCTGGGTTTAGGTTTTGGGTTGAGGTTAACCCTTAAATGGCCAGGGCCCACCGGTGGGCCTAAAGTTTTATTACACATTTCTATAACCTAAGAATACTCAGCAAAGAAAATGGTTCTATGTAGAACTATGAACACTCAAAGAACCATTTGCATGATTAAATAGGTCTCTGCATGGTGAAATGGTTCTTCAGATTGATAGAAAATGTGCTGTAGATGGTTTTTGAAAAGGGTTCTATATAGCACCATAAAGGGTTCTGCTATTGTTGCAATATTAATCTTGTAACAAAAGAAGAACCCTTTTTGGTGCCTTTCTAGAACCATATACAACACATTCATGCAAATGGTTCTTTGAGTGTTCATAGTTCTATATAGAACCATTTTCTTGGCTAAAAACCATCATTTTTTAAGAGTGTAGCTCAGGCAGTTTGCATTAATGTTCCTGTAGTTACTGAAAGTGTTAGTGTGTAATAAGCCTGGGATTTTAAGGGGTTATGGTTAGAGTTAGGATTAAAGCAGATTTAGAGTTTTAAAATATAGAAAATAGAGAAAACTGTGGTGAATTTAATGGATATTTAGTTGAATGTAACTTAAGTATCTACAAAGCCTCTAAAGTGAACTATCCAAATAAAGTGTTTCCCAATCCTTCCTTCATAAGACCTCTTCGTTTGAAATACGCTATCTTAATTCTGTACAAGCTCTTTAAACATGCATGTCTGCCATTCATATGTCTGCACCCATCACCATTTCATTCAAACAGCTACTTTTTAAAATGCCCTCAAAAGCCACGAAAAGTCCTTTTCCGTAATATCAGTCCATTTCCTTCATAAACGTTATAAACTCTCTTAACACACAGCGCATTCTCACATTGTTCACATCTCAAACGAAGGTCATTCAGGTCGACCCTCAAATCAGAAACACACACACACACTCACCGCATGCCTAAAACCTCAACATTCCTGGTCAAACACAAGTATGCGCATCCACACACATCTGAGGAAAAATCTGTGCTATTTTGTAATTTTGTCAATGATGAATTCTGTCTATTACAGAGTGCCGAGAAAAGTGCTTGCTCTTCCCCTGCAGTGCGATATTTACCATGCAGACCCTTTTACTGTGAGAGATGGATGCTCTACATGAAAAAAATCTCTCTCTGTGTATGTCAAAACAGATCTCTACCCAAACACATTACGGGTCTGCTAAACTGCAAATTGAGGATCTCGGATACAACAACTTAATACCAGGCTTTTGGGAGAGGTTTCATCCTTTGTTGTACACAACAGCAATCCTGACGCTTGATAACTTGTAATTTGATTCAGAATGGAACAACTCATTTCCACCACAGCTGCCCTTTCTTGAGTTTGGACTTGAAAGGGTGGACAATGAGCAGAACCAGAAGGGGATCTGAAGATAGAAGGAACTTTTGTGCAACATCCTTTTGGATGTTATGTCTGAAACACAGGTTTGCTAAACCCCAAACTAGACTGCTATGTTCCAGACAATAACTGATAAAACTTAATACCAGGCCATTGGGAAGGCCATCCTTTGCTGTGTGCAACAGTCAATCAATCCCAACACTTGACTTGTTTATTCAACTTGTTCCCTTCATGGTTTCCCTGGTGTCACTGAGTCTCAGTGGTTGCAGAGTAATTGTGTCTTCTACTGGTCCCAAGCTTGACTCACGGTCACACCGATGGGACTGATCTTCCCCAGGTCCTCCATCTGCAGACCCTTTTGAGCAGCAACCCCTTTGGCCTCATTGGCCGCAACAGACCCTGCATCATCCATGCTGACAGAGCTGCTGACCCCGCAGCCAGCCCTGTTCTGTTCTTGTTCCTGCCTCGTTCTGCAGTTCTTCAAGTTTCCATCCGTGTACACCCTGTTCCTCGTGCCAAAGGGCAGAGGGTTGGAGTTACCCACAGAGTCCCTCTGCCCGCCAACCCTCAGGTCGATTCTGCCAGGTCTCTGCATTCTACCTCTTCCAGGGAAGCAACAGCATGAGTGTGTCCTGCAAACGGCCTGGAAGCCCCGCTTGAAGTTCTCGTTGTAGTAGCCGTAGATGATCGGGTTGACGCTGGAGTTGGAGAAGGCTAGCCAGTGCGCAAACGGGAACACATAGCCAGAGAGAAACTCCAGCTCTTCCTCGTCCAGGCCGCCATAGTCCGTCAAAAGCATGAGGGTCCACAAGGGCAGCCAGGAGAGGGTGAATAGGAGGGCCACCACACTAAGCATCTTGATCACCTTGATCTTCTTGTGGGAGATGAGTGGCCTGCCTTCATGGTGCTGCCCCCCAGTGGCTGGAGGAGTGGTGCTGTGACCACTGCTGTCCTGCTGGTCGTTCCCAGAGATGACAGAGGTGGTGTAGAGCTTGATTCCTATGCGACCGTACATCATTGTGATGAGCGTGAGCGGGATCAGGTAGATGTGGGCAAAAAGGACCGTGGTATACACCTTCCTCATCTGTGGGTCAGCCCAGTTCTCGAAGCACGAGAAGAGCGGGTAAGTGTGATTGTAGTCCAGGTTGTGGACCATGTAATGATGCTTGACCTGAGCCACGGTCAGCGTGGCCGCAGACGGGCACATAATGACCAGTGCCAGCACCCAGATCATCACGATGGTCACCTTGGCAACAAGCAAGGTGAGTTTGGGCTGGAAAGGGTAGACAATGCAGCGGAATCTGTGGGGAATAATAAGAAAAGAAAACATTATATATATATATATATATATATATATATATATATATATATATATATATATATATATATATATATATATATATATATAGGCATAATGAGGCATTCTGGCATTAAATTTATTATTTATTATGTTCTGCAGTGCAGAATTGCACCTCGCAGCCCGGACAATTTGACGGAATTCACTGTTTTGTATCTTTTCTGTCTTTTTGTCCATCACATGTTGGGAGCACAGATACATCAACCAACACCCCCAAAAAGAAAACAAAAATAAAAACATACAGACATTACTCCCACCTTCAAAGTACATCATTAGAAAGAGGTATTATTAGTCCTAGTGGAAAGTTCCAATCTAGAGACTATTATAATACCACTGTAGGAGGCAAGTTTACTACAGATGAAGCAATGATTAAGTTTTATTTTGGCCAAAGTGCCTCTTCATCTTCTAATTAACCTTAAAGCTCACACACTCTAACCGCACCTTCAACCTGAACTCAGAACCTAAAGCTCATGCTAACTCTGGTTCTAATTCATGATCCTAACCTTAATGTTGTTAATAATCAAGAGTTTTACCAGATACAGTACTGTGCAAATGTCAGAGACCATCTTTCATTTATTTGATTTCCAGTCAAGACAAATGATTCATTTTCAGGAGATGTTATTATTCATTTACAGAAGCTTCCAAAACAGGAGTTAAAAATGATTACAAGCTACAGAGAAAATGGGACTCCCACCAACCACCCGGAAGAGCTGGTAGACACCAAAACTGCCCCCATCAGATAAACAGCACTTAAAGCTTTCATCTCTGAGAGAGAGGAGAAAATCGAGCAGCTACAGATCTGAAAACATCCACAGCCATCCTTCCACTGCGAGAAGAAAACTCAACGCTATGGCTACTGAGAAAAGAAAACTGACAAAAAACAAGAACATTTGCAAATCAAACAAAGAAGTTGCTGGTGTTCTCACTGGTGGTCAACAATGGACTGACCGCCATAGTCCAAACCTCAGCATCACTGAGTTTGTTTGGGATTACTTCAGAAAATGCTAAACCTGGGCTCCCAAGTGGCACAAACATCTAAATGTTGGCTGTATCATCAGGAGATAGCGAGGTCAATCCCTGGTGATGCTACAGCCATCTATGGCTGGGAGTCCAAAGTGCACAATTGGCCTCCCTCTCTCTGGGTGGGTAGGATGGACCCCCCATTTCCCCCATCACTCACCGTGATGCTAGCCAGTACAGGCATCTGTTAGCTGATGTAACAAAACTAGTGGTCGGTGCTTTCCTCCGAGCGTTCAGCTATCCAATGATGTCGCATTATCAGCAGTAAAGAAAAAGATGCGGAGACTCACTTCACTGGTCTCAGACAAAAAATCTTGCCGATTTCTTTGAAAAACTACAAGCAAAGCTTCTTTTTAAACTTGCTTAAAAGCTGTTTTGACAGGAAATGAAATAAATGAAAGATGGTATCTGCCTTTTGCACGGGGCTGTAGTCTGAAAAGAATTTGAACATCTTTAGAGAAGCCATAGAGGCCTGTCAAAGCAAAGTTTGACAACTGCACCTTATTCCAGTGTATACTCTGCCAAGCACTAGTGTACTTTAATGTACCAACATGCTTTCTTCTGTATGCCAATTCTATTATGCGCCAATGTATATTCAATCTGTCATTCTTTGTATTCCTTTCTGTTACTGCTCTACATCTTTATCTCCCTCCCCCATCTCCCCTATTTTCCTCGCTTTCATAGCTCTGGCTTTAATCCGCTCTTCTCAATAGACGGAGAGCAAAAGTGTGGGAGCAAAGAAGGTGTGAAAAGAAAGAGCGGAAGATCCTTGTGGCTTCTCATTATGGCCTACATCCTTATACATTTTTAGACCTCTTCCCTTTTGATATTCATTTTTCATTCTCCTCCTTTGTTCTCATGATTTCTTTTATGTTCGCTAAACGCCTTAAGCTGCTTTCAGATGCTAGAAAGCCGCTGTATGAATGAGGATGTTTTGAGGATTGCGGAGGACTGTTGTGTCCTTGCTTGTCCCTTCTTGTCGTTGCATCACAACGAACCTGTCGACAGCGATGGCCACCAGAGTGAAGACGGACGCCGAGACGCTCATACCCTGCACCAGGCCGCTCATCTTACACACTGTATTCGTGAAGGGCCAACCTGAGGAGAAAAACAATGAGAAAAATGAATAAATAATTGGTGGTGTCAAAGTTAACACAATAAATGATTAATGGCTCAGTTTTTAATGCTGTTAAATGTTGGACATTTTGCTAGTTTGACCCTACGAACCATCTGTAATTCCACCCTGAAGCCCTGAAGTGGCCAAGCACACCGCTGCTGCCATAATGTCATTAATATCAATATGTTAGCACTGAAGCACGCTTTCAGTGGACTACACTGGACAGTGCTCTTGGGGGAACTGTTTAAAAATCAATGAAGAGCCATAGTAAAATGGTAAGGTCCACTTCCCTTCAAGACAAGACATAACATAGCAGTGTAAGGCTATGATCGTGGAGAGGTGGGACATGACATCAGCGGGAGAAATTGAAAACTAAACTCACCCTATTTTAATGTTCACCCCGCACTCACGTGATTTTCTGGTCAGGTTCTTGTTGAATTATGGAAAGTAATAAATAGTAATAGTAATAAATATATTCTTATTTTATCCACTCATATAGCTTAACAAAGCTTTTAAAATGATACAAAATCTTTCTTCAGGGTCAAAATGTAATTAAAATGTAATTAATTGCAATTAAGTATACAAAGTAATTTATTCTGGTTAATTACTTTAATTGCTTGTCATCCATAAAAGAACTACATTTTTAAAAAAAAGTAATGCAACTGTATTTTGTGTGCAAAACTTTGGGCACTCCTGGTTAAAGTACAAATTTTCTTGATTTTTTTTCTTGATTTTTTTTCTTCCCATTTTAGTCATATCCAATTCCACCCACTAGTAGACAATGCCACCAGCGCCAAGAGGGCGAAGGCAAATACAAGCTTTCTCCAACTCATGTGACGCCTGCTACTTCATCTTTTCCATGGACAGCTGAGTGCGCTTGGAGGAGAACACTAACCACCAGTTATTTTACAACAGCTTATAGTCACCTGTAGCTGGCTAGCATCACACTTGTGATGGGGGAGGAAGGAGGGCCATCCTACCCACCCAGAGAATGCAAGGCCAATTATGCTGTAGCTGTAGCATCACCAGGGATCAAAACCAGGATTGAACCCACGATCAAACTCACTAATGCTTAGACGGCTGCACCACTCAGCAGCCCAAATGATTTTTGTGTTTGAAGCAAACCAACATTTTTTTTTTCTGCAAATGTTAATGCATAGTTACACTGTAAAAATGGCTCATCGGATCTACCTAAAAAAGTTATTTAATGTGGTAACAAGTAAATTTGAAATGAACCTTTTTAGCCAACTGTGTCTGAACACATCGGAATTGGACCTCCGCATTTAACCCATCCGTGCAGTGAAACACCACATACACACTAGTGAGCACACACACACTAGGGGGCAGTGAGCACACTTGCCCAGAGCGGTGGGCAGCCCTATCCACAGTGCCCAGGGAGCAGTTGGGGGTTAGGTGCCTTGCTCAAGGGCACTTCAGTCACATACTGTCAGCTGAGGGGATAGAACCGGCGACCTTCCGGTCACAAGACTGGTTCCCTAACCTCCAGCCCATGACTGCCCCCTACTAAAAATTGATTAAAATTTTAGTTTTATTCAACCTAAATAAATACTTTGAATGAATTGTTCTTTCAATCAAAATAATTTTTGAGTGGAATAAAACTAGTTCAATTGCTTGTTACCACAGGAAGTCTTTTTTTTTAGGTAGATCCGATGGATACAGTGTAACTAGGGCTTAATTACTTGTCAGGACTGGTTAGGCAGGTCACGAAGTGTCATTTTGAAATGTCAAAATGAACTGATAACAATTCAGAGCAGGATAAATAATCCTTAAACCTTGTGCTCACAATCAACAACCATGGGAAGGCTATAAAAAAGTTTTCAAAGCGCTCCCAGCTTGCAATTTCCACTGCCTGAAATGTCTGTCAGTGGAAGTCAAGGCCAGATCTGGAAGACCAGAACAACTCTCAGAAAGAACTGCTCATATTTTGGCCAGAAAGGCAAAGCAAAGGAAAAAAGTACCTACAGGAGGGGTTTAGCTGACATCGGAGTGCTGGTGAACCTTTCTACTGTGGAGCATTGATTAGACAAATAACTTGTCCTGCATGGAAGAGTCTTCACAAGGAAAGCTTACATGCAACCTTATCCCAACGTTTAACATCTGAAATATGCAAAACAACATCTGGACCAGCCAGAGGCTTTTTGGAAACAAGTGATGTGGACTGATGACATAAAATTAGAACTCTTTGGCCAAATCACTCTTTTTGTATAGAAAAAAAGAGCAGCACTTGATGACCAGAACACCTTGTCAACTGTTAAGCATAGGAGTGGATCTATTATGCCATGCAGTTGTATGGCAGCCATGGACAGAGGATGCACTGCACGGGTAGATACACCCAGAAAAAAGATATGAAACTGTCACTGGGGCAGTTCCTCTCGTCACTGGGGTGGTTCCCTCAAAGGTACATCTCAGTACCTTTAGTCAGGAAACATAACTGTACCATAATCCACTGAAATGATATGTTCTAAGATGTACTGACTCCACACACCCCGTCTCGCCTCCAGGCTTTTTATATTATTGTTCTGTTTTAAAACATTCGGTTATGAAAAGAAACAAATACGAACTTTTCACCTGGAAAAACAACCAGACCTTAAAACCACTGTTGTACCTTTGAAGGTACAGTTACATTTTTGTACCTTGATGAAAAAAAAATGTACCTACACTGTTAGAAATAAAAGTTCTGTGCAGGTACATTTTTTGTTCATCAAGGTACAAACAATGTAAATGTACCTTCAAAGGTACAACTAACAGTAACAACATTAACAGTAATGCAAGGAATCAAGAAACTACAGCTGAAAAGCTTTTGCAACAGGACAATGATGCAAATATACCTCAAAGCTATTTCAAGAAACATTAAGAAAATGACTTGAATATCACTGAAAATCTGTGGGAAGATCTTAAATATGCTGTGCATGCAAGAAAGCCCAATTTTGTTGCAGAACTACGACTGTTCCGCAAGGTTGAGGTGGTGGAATGCTGCCAAAGAGGGTGGTGCTAAGTACTTACTTAGTACGGTATAAATATAAAAAAAAACTGTGCATTAATATTTGCAGAAAGATATTTCTTTTTAAATAGTTTGCTACAGAGGTTAACTTTCCATTCATTTAAAAACCGACAAAATATGTAGTCTGACCAGGGGTCCCGAAATGTTTGCACACAACTGTAAATAAATAAAGAAATAAATAAACAAACAAGCAAGTGAGAGATGGAGGATGGCTTTCATCCTCTTAGAAAACATGCCACTTTGCTCTAAGGGACAAATAGAGTGTGTCGTCCATGAGTACTGTGACATAACAGGGGTTAAAAGCAGACAGCGCACCATCACTTAATGTGCATTTTCATTCCAGCATTCTTGTTTTTCGGGGGGAAACGCTTGACAAGGAGGACTGCACTTGGCTTAAAAGCAAAAGGGGCTCTGACGTTTGTGCCCTCGTCACTCATTAATGATAAGGACTGAAACTATCTATGATTCACCACCTGTGACACACTCAATGTATACATTTACAAGGATCTTCAGCCTATACAAAGTGAAATGCTCTTGACTTCTTTCTTAGAAACAGACATAGAGTCTGCTGTAATGGTCACAGCCACGGTCGGGCCTTTCTTCATCCGCCACTTCATCCGTAGCTCATGACTTTGATAAATCAGGCTGCATATGGCTTTTTTCTGCTTTCAAGCATCAGCCCCAGTGACATGAGGATCTAAAGGATCCTTTTTGTAAAAGCAGTATGAAGCAAGCATATACTCAGTCTCTGTAGATGCTTCAGGCATTCATGCAGAAGGGCGACTCTGTGCATAGCTCTACAATCATCTCAAGAGAATGAGATAAAAAAAATGGACTGGTTAAACCTGACGAACCTTTAGATGGATGAGGACCTTGAAACGGTTAGGTCAGCACTTCACTTCCACACTTCACTTTTTAAACGCATCCCTCAGCCCTAGCCTAGCGGCGGTGAGTGAAAAAGAGCCGTCCTTGAGGGAAGCGAGAAGCCTTTTGCCAAGCAGCTCTTGGTTTAAAGAGGCTGGAGAATGTTTATTTTTGGGTCAGATTGAAGTGAATCTTGTCTGAAGAGTTAGTTAGCCTCGTGGTGAAGCAAGGAAGCCCAGTAACCCCAAAGCGCTTCGAAAAAGAAAAGCATGAATATATCAACTTTGCTCCATTGTAACAGTTTTTGGTAAGACTTCATTTGAATGCTACATAAGGACATCATAATACATGCATAAGCACTGAATAAAGTATTAATAAAGCAATACTTGAGTATTGAACATGATTTGTGAACATCTTATGCCAGTAATCGAGATATCATCCATAAGCTGAAGTAAATGACATTATAATAATTGTATAATAATAATAATAATAATAATAATAATAATTTTATTTATATAGCACTTTTCATGCTGGTGGCAGCTCAAAGTGCTTACAGACAGGTGATAAAGCTTAACAGTAATGCATGGCATTAATTAATAATTTTGAATCATATAAGAAAATGACAGATCAAATTAAAAGATAAACACCATGAGAGTTTTAATTAAATGCTGAGTTTTCAGATGTTTATTAAAAGTGTTCATTGAGTTTGACTGTCTAATAAAAGGTGAACTGAGCTCCACAGTTTAGAAGCAGAATAACTGAGCGAGTCTCTCCATGTTTTCTGTATTTTACAGAAGGTATTTGCTGAAAAATCACTATCTGCAGATCTAAGATCATAAACAGACAGACACTCTGTGATGTAAGCAGTATTTTTGGGTCATTTAGAGCCTAAAAAATTAGTAGCAGAACTTTAAAATCTATCCTGAACGAAACAGGTAGTGCAGTTCTTTTAAAACGGGACTGATCTGATCTCAGTTTTGTTTTTGTTAGGATGCTGCTGCATTTTGTACGAGTTGTAAGGGATGTGTAGTTTTCTTAGGACGTCCAGTAAGAAGATCATTACAGTGATCAACTCTGCTTGTAACAAATGCATGA